AGTTGCATGGAAGTACTTTCAAAATCATTCAAAGGAACTGGAGAAATGCCGGTTTGGGAAGGAGCCAGTGTCAAAGGGCTAACATCCAATGGGGGCTCTGAATATTCACAGTTTACTTTTACATTCATTTAAGAGTCAGGGGCTAAAGTGGCTATAAGATCAGTTTGAGTCATGGCTTCCTTAATCTCTAGCATTTAGGAATGAATGAGTATTTCACTCATTAGGTGTGCTGCAAATGATATGGACCAAATTATAATACAGTCATACCTTGGTTGTTGAACGCCTTGGTACTCGTACGTATTGGCTCCCAAATGATTAAAACTCAGAAGTGAGTGTTCTGGTTTTGGAACTTTTTTTGGAAGCCAAACGTCCAATGCGGCTTCTGCTGTTGTTTCCCATGCACCTGCGCAATTGGAAGCCAATTGGAAGCCGTGCCTTGGTTTCCAGATTTTTCAGAAATCAAACGGACTTGGTGAGATGAAAATATTTGGCCCAAATTAGCATATTCTGATAGCAGTGACTAAGGCATGCAATTGGCTTCTAAATGTGATGGAAAGTTATCCTTCCTCTCCCTCCTCTCTGCCCGATGCAAATCATGCTAATAGTTTTCATAGGCACAGCTCATGCCCTAGTCATACTCTAGAGCAACGTTTCTCAGCCATGGCTCCCTAGATGTTTTTGGACTACAATTCCCACCATCCCTGATCACTGGTCCTGCAAGCTAAGGATGATGGGAGATGTAGTCCAAAAACAGCTGGAGACCCAAGGTTGGAAAACACTGCTCTAGAGTACACGCTTTGGATAAATGACTAGCTTTTGGTGATAAATCTGGCTACCATAATGGGGCCTGTTCCACAAAGAAACTCACATATTGCATGCAGTTGGGTTTAAGGGATAAGTGGCATGAATGAATGTGGCACATTAAGTGAATGAAGTGGCAAAAATGCCTGTGGCCACAATCCTGTACACACTTGCAGCATGGGATGGTCTAATCCAGGCATGGCCAAACTTGGCCTTCCAGATGTTTGGGGACTACAATTCCCATCATGCCTGACCACTGGTCCTGTTAGCTAGGGGTGATGGCAGCTGTAGTCTCAAAACCTCTGGAGGGCCAAGTTTGGCCATGCCTGGTCTAATCTGTCTGTTTCAGTTTTTCCTCTGTTTCTCATTTTTCCAGTGTTAAGTTTTGGTTTCCCTATGTCTGCACTGATTTGTGTTGGTTTTTTTACTTAAAATGGGGGGGGGGGCTCTAAAAAAGGGACTCTGTGGGCACCAGGAAAAGCCTGAATGCGCATCTATATAATTTCATTGTGTGAGAGGGAACCAGTTCCCCTTTAAGAGCTTGTTAGGGGTAATCAAGAAAATCAATGGGTTGGCTTGAGTATCTGGGATGGTCTTCTAGTCATGTAGAAATCTCAAGAGTTGAGATTGTGATTAAAATTCATCAGTGAAGAACATTCTGGAATCAAGCTATAAGCTTTTCTCCAGGAACCACTAAATGGGCAGAATGAATGGAGTAAGTGATTTTCTTTCTTTCTTTCTTTCTTTCTTTCTTTCTTTCTTTCTTTCTTTCTTTCATCAACTATTGTGAGTAGGATAGAGAAGGATGTCTCTCCTTTTAGCCTTTGTAAAGCATGAAATTGTTGTTCTAGTGTTATGCAATTATGACCATGATATCAGCACAAGTGTTTTTGCTTGCCAGATGAACCTTTCTCCTCCCTCCATGTGCTTTTTAGGGGCTCTCCCAACCCCCCAGAGCCAATTGGGTGGGCCTAAAGAAATTATAACCTGGGGAGTGGCTCTAGAAATCTACATGCCACCCTTCTTCCCAAAGGAGCCTAGAGTGGGAAACTTATCCATTGTTTAAGAAATCACAATTAAAACTTCTAAAAGCATTTTGAAACTTCTAGTACTAGTTGTACACCTAAGGATTGGTATGCATGTGTTTTGCACTAAAGGTGTTTTCCTTATTTTTGAGCTGACTCTGGCATTGCCATGAATGAACATTGCACAAACTGTGGATGACAGAATACACAGAAGCTGAAGGGTGCTTGGTCTATTGGCTCATTTCTGAGTGGAAATGCATATGTGTGGGGGAGATCAGTCAAATATTTGTCTTGGGGAAATAAAACATGTTTTGGAATAAGTCAGATTTTTGTTTTGCTTTGCTTTACGTGTGTGTGTTTTTAAGCAGAAGTCCGAAGAAAGGGCTGACCAGCACAGGATTGTTTACCATATTTAAAGTGGATGCTATGTTCCTTGTAAATAAGAAAAAAAATGTATTGTTCCATGTTAGTATGGAATATATTTTTTGTGTTGCCACTTAGCTATTTGCAAGTGAACAAGAACACTCAAGAGAATTACTCAGATGTGTAGAGGAACCTTTTTTTCTCATTATTACAGGATTCAGCTAGCAAAATATTAGCAGGAAAGAACCAGTGAAGTCAAATACACAAATTACATCCTCCCTACCCCCACCTCAAAGTAACTGTTAAAGAAAAATGGTGGTAGATGTTTTCCTTCCTCGATGTATCTGATTCCACTGAGATTTGAAGGCTACAATCTGATGCCTTACCAATTACAAAAACATGTAAATAAAGGGAAATTGTTTTGTTATGCATTCATAAATAATTAAGAACTTCACAGCAGGCTTCCACCATCTCCATGTTATCTGCTGGGAATGTCTCGTAATGGAGATATAGTTGCCATTGTTACCGCAGCAGATTGCATTGCTATAAAGCAGAGCACATTAAAGAAAATGGCTAAGAATGCTAAACATACTGAAAGGAGAAATGTGTCTTCTGGGCGTTTTACTGTATGGTTTTCCCCATTGGTGTGAAATGTTCATAATTTCACACACACAAAGAACACAAATGCAAGACTTGCTGCAACCTCAAATGTTGATCAAGAAGTCTGAGAATTCATTTTGTATTTTCTGCTTCTGTGTCTTAAATCTCATCATTTATAGAGCTTTAACAAAATATTTACAACACTGTATTGTGTTTAATTGTCAGGGGTAATCATTATACCTCTGTATGATCCCCTCTGGTTATCTCAGTTAGGGAAATACACTTTATGGCAAGATTTTTAATATAAGGAATTTTTTTGATTGAACCAAGTATGACACCGAAATCATCTCACTCGGAAAAAAATTAACATTAATGTTCAGAGCTGATCTCCCGGAAACTTCAAACTACTGCTCATATAATCTTTCTCGCTAATCAACCTAGTTGACATACATTTGTGAGATTATGTCACTTTTTGGTACTTGTGTAATTCTGTTCGGTATTATTCTTCCAGTGGGAGTTGGGGTGGTGGTGGTAGAGATGACGAAAACAGACAAGAGCAGGGGTAGCCAGTACGGTGCCTTCCAGATGTTCTAGACTCCAACTTCCATCAGCCCCACCCAGCATAGCCAATGGTTGGGGATGATGGGAGTTGTAGTCCACCACATCCAGAGGACACTAGATTTCCTACCAATGGGTTAGGCCATCAGTGCAAAACCTTTCCTGAGGATGGATGTTCTGCACATCAATTCACAAACTAGCTAGAAATCCTCTGAAACAAGGACTCCCATACAAATCTCCTATGAAAGGTGTTTGCCTAAATGAAATAATTGCTCAACGCTAGAAGGCTAAGATTTTTAATGGTTTCTGATTTGTATATCAGAGGACCATCCATGTTCTTCTCTTGATCTAGAATGCCCCGAGACTTTTAAAGCTCTCTCTGACTTTCCTAGGATGGATTCATCGGCCCATTTAAAATACAACTACGCAACCAAAATGCAGGCAGCGTAGTTGCATGATATTACACATGATGCTACACTTATTTCCCAGTGGTCTGAATGAGCAGGAATCATAAGGTTATTCCCACTGTATCATCATTGCAAACAGATACCTTTTGCCACAACTCCCTTCCAAGCAGAAGTACAAGAGCAACACAGTCACTGGAGCCTTGTACAACCGCCACAGATCATTTGCTTTCTGATGCAGCAAATACAATGAATCATAGGCCATGAGTGGGTTGCACAGTTTGCCGATGATGATGGATTTGAGGAAGGTTGTACCTTAAAAGAAAATCCTTGCACTTGGTAAAGGAATTGCAAATAATGAGCTGATATAGAGGTCCTTATACATGTCATGTGAATTGCATCAGGTGTGTGTTGTTTTTTAAAGCATTTGGTTTAACTAGGGCTGAAAATTGAAAATCACTTACCTAAGAGTAAGTCCCATTGAACTAAATGGGACTTACTTTTGAGTAGACAGGTATACGATTGCACCGTTCATAATTCTGCTCTATAGCTATACATGTCCCATATTATTATCGGTTTAATTATAACTTAACTCATATGTTAACTCATATGGCCTAGGACCCTCGTACCTACGGGACCACCTCTCCCAGTATGCCCCATGGAGGACCTTAAGGTCCATAAATAGCAACACCCTAGAGGTCCCGGGCCCTAAGGAAGTTAGATTAGCCTCAACCAGAGCCAGGGCCTTTTCCACACTGGCTCCGGCTTGGTGGAACGCTCTGTCTCATGAGACCAGGGCCCTGCAGGATCTGATTTCTTTCCGCAGGGCCTGTAAGATAGAGTTGTTCCGCCTGGCCTTTGGCTTAGAGTCAATTTGGTTCCCTCCCCCTCTTTTTCCTTTCTCCTCCTGTGATGAAGCTGCATTTTAATATTTTAATGTTGTATTTTAATCTTGTTTTTTAAATTGCATTTCAATCAACTTGTTTTTTATTGGTTGTTAGCCGCCCTGAGCCTGGTCTTGCTTAGGGAGGGCAGGGTATAAATAAAATTATTGTTGTTATTATTATTATTTTACTCGAGCAGCTTGGGGGCCACTTTCACATGGCTGGATCACACTCTAGAAATGTGGGAAGGTCTCTTATCCTGAATCAGACCCACTGGCCCCTCTATAGCTCAGTATTGTCTACCCTGACTGGCAGTGGCTCTTGGGGGGGGGGGGTTCAGACAAGTCATCTTTACCAGCCCTGTCTGGAGATGCTGGGGATTGAACCTGAGACCTTCTACATGCAAGGCAGATGCTCTACCCCTGAGCTATTGTCCTTCCCCACCCTGCTTGAACAACGGAGGTAAAGATCAAATGACACAGTTTTCTAATAGCAACAGTGCAAGCTCCACAGAGGGTTGATTCCAAGGGAAAAGGAAACATAAAGTACCTGATCCACATAGATCCTTTTTTTAAGACTTTGCTGGAACAGCTTGAGCTCCAGCTGTACAGCAATGACTCCTGCAACATTCCAGGGATTGGAAATCTGTGGTCCTTTCGATGTTGATGAACTGCAACCTCCATCATTATTGGCCACTGGCCATGTTGGGTGGGATGGGTGGGAGCCCAATAGTCTCTGGAGGGTCATAGGTTCCCCACCCATAGTATATGTGATGAAGATCAGAGCAGGTAGATTTGTGTGGCACGTTGCTTTCTAAGATGTCTATCGCATAGCCTGCAGAAATTTCCCTATTTCTCTCTGGGACAAGTGATTTTCACAAAGGAAATACAACTGGCAACAGGAAGATTTAATCAAATTGTAATTCAAATCAGGAGACGAAAGCCAGTATAAGGTTTTCTATTTTGTTCTATAAAAATCGGTGTAAAGTGTGATGCCTATTGAAGAGCTTGAGTGGCTGTGCTATTCTGGTAGCTAACAGGGTACATTTCTGAGGTTGGTTGGCTTGGGCATGGAGCCTCTTCATGCAACATATAGAAAATGGCTTTCACATTGCCACATTCAGACATGCTTTGGAGGCCTTGATTTAGCTCCTGAAGTGTATAAAAGCAGTCCTAGGTGAGATCATTTGGGGATATATTTAACAAAGTCGCCTATGATAGGGGAGAGTGGTTGTTTGGTGGAACTGAGTAATGCATTATTCTAAAAACAGGGTGACCTTTAGGGGACCTTGATTGCAAAAAAAAAAGTTAAGAAAACAGGTCTGCCCTCTCGCACTTGCATAATGCAGCAAGCAAACAAGCACATTTTGTAATAACAATGGAATTGTATTCTGAAAAGATTGGAGGAGAACATTGGATATAAATATTTTGCCTTAATTTCTCAAACTTTAAATTGATTTTTAAATAGTTTATGTGCTTTCCCCTACTGTATCTGTAACCCACAGGACTCCAAGTCAAATTATGCCTTAAGTATGACACAACTGCAATTTAGATACACAGTGTACCAGTGCCCCCTGCAGCTTGGATATGTTAATTATTTGTGAAGAGCGAATGCTCTTGTTTGGGTTTGTTTTTTTTAATCTGCCCATCAAGAAACATATGATGATGTAAATGCATTTGGATCTGCATGTCTAGCTATAAACCAAATGATTTGAAAGTATTGGACTTTTGGTTGTTACCTCATTATTTAAAATGTAAAAGAGCAGAAATAAGGTGGACAGTGATTTTTCTTTTTCTTTTTCAAAAAAAAAAGCAGACGTTTCTTATAGGCTGATTTATTGGGGCATGAGGTTTTTGCAAACAGTTAGCCACTTCATCTGCAGTGGACTAAGACTATGTATGAAGAGAGATGGTAATTCAGTAACAGATCTACATGCCTTGCTTACAGAACATCCTTGGCGTCCCTAGTTAAAAGTGATAGCAGTACAAGGAGCAAACAACTGCAGAGTATATAAGGGGTGGGACAACTTTAGCTTTGCAGATCTGATTTATCTTTTACTATAACCTCAGATCTTTCTGGTGCAAAATAGTGGCTCAGGAGGGATGGCATAAATAAACTAAGAATTAAGAACAGGGTGTGTCTGAGCACACACTCAAACTAGGACAGAAATCACCTTCCAACCTCCTTTCCACACACACAAACACCCCAAAAACCCCAGCAACCTAATTTAGGATGCAGGGAGCCTTTAAGTTATTGATGTTGGCAGAGTGTGACCATAGAAAGCAGGGATGAAGAAATCTGTGAACTGCCAGGTGCTATTGGACTACAGCTCCCATCATCCCTAACCGTTGGCTATGCCAGCTGTAGCTCATGGGAACCGGAGTCCAGCAACACATGAAACCCCTGATATAGAGAGAGTCGCCAATGCAGAAAATGCATTTTCCTCTCATGAAATATATCAGCATGCCCCCCCCCCAGGTACTAGAACGTATGGTGCTTTTGCAGAAAAGGTTTCCTTTAACAATACAAAATGGGAACAAATCTTCACAATACCAGAAAAATATATGAAACTTTAAATTACATCTTCATTCAGTCTCAGAGTATTGAGAATTTTAAGCAATCTCAGAATGGGGACATGAACTTGGATGACTCAGAGACATTTTTAAAAAGTATTGTGTGCCCATCCTTTTCAAGACTTCAGCAGTATGTGATGTCCCAAACAATCTGAGTCAGTGACTACACATTGTATTTCTATCCCTAATTTGTCCCAGAGGGAAGAAAAGCAATCTATAGTACCATTATGAAGAATTGCCAAAAGGATATAAGATCCTTGTAAGAATGGGATGCAAAATGATATCATATAATAACTGTCCATGTACCTTCAACTTCTAAAACTGCCTTGCTTTTATTAATAAGAGATGACAAGCGGTGACTCAGGCAAATACAGCTCACCTTGGGTGGTAGTATATGGAATGAGGAGAGAGGCCAGCTAACCTTAAATGCAGCACCAATTGATCACTTGGCAGGTGGCCTGAAAAAAGGAACTATCTGAAGCGGGTTGTTAGAATTAAGCAATTTAAAATAATTGTCTCTGTAAATAGATCTGTTCAATTTCTGTGCATTATTAACACTGGAGTTATTTCATTATAATTTATTCTGCAGTTGCAAGTTAAATTTGCCTTTCTGAATCTGATTTTAAATATGGGAAATTGTTGAATCAGAGTGGTTCAGAAAGTTGTGTTGAGAGAAGGTGCTACTAACAATAAAACATGCATTTTATTTGCAGAAGAGAAAGACCTGGATGGAACAGTTCAAAGCTGTCCCAGATTTTGAAATTAAGTGTTACCCAACTAATTCAGGAAAGGCAAATATAGATTGCTATCTACTCAGCTATGAATTGGCCAGTGGACTAATCAAATTGGAGTTATTGCAGTTGCTATGTACTGAACTTCTCACCCTGGGCCAGCAGGGGGATACTGTAGATAGTTATGCAAATAAGGGATCGAAAGTGACATTCAGTGATTGAATAGTTTTAGAAAATTGTTACAGTTACATTGTACAGGAGCTCTATATAAGCAGGCTGACTGAACCCTTCAGTTCAGTTCTGTCCTGGCCTGTGAATAAACAAGAGCTGTTTGAAGAATTGCTGTGTCGTCTGATATGTTCACCCACAACTTAACAGCAGCAATCTGTAAAAGGGGTGAAAGAACTACAGTATATGACTTATCCATGTCTGTCTAAATAGATCTATATTTAGTTAAAGAGATGGTGGAAATGGAAACACTGCCCTCTGATACAGAAATGTTTCCTGTGCATTTATAATTATTTATTTAAAACATGTGGAGTGGAGTGTTATGTGAGGGGAGACTGTGTTAAGGGAAACGCTCAGAGGCACATTTATCAGTTCCTGTTTCTTCTTCTGTATGTTCTGGGGATGAGACCTGGCACTGAAAACAGAAGTATTGGCTGAGTTTTGTTGAGTTCTGGCACACATTCTGTTCTAATAGTTAATGACTTAGTCTGAAATCTTCCTTTCCCAAATGCAGAACACCTCCAGCAACAAGTGTGATTTTCTCCATCTCCTCACTATCTAGGATTGCATAACTAACAGTCCTTACATGCAATGTATTTGAAAGCATAATGTATAAAATACCTGTTGTTGATATTATTCGAGCAGTAAATGAATTGGTCAGTACTTTTTGCTTAATGTACCAAAAATCAGCACTCGTCACCAGGGCATCCTAGACTGTGTGGAAGTTCTTTGTGAGGCCTGACTAACTAGCTTTATTGAGTAGGGCTGTGCAAACGCTTCATCTGAATATTGGGGCAAGGCAGGCGTATTCAGACCGAAGTGGGGCCCCTCCAAGGCGAAGCTCACACACCAAAGTACAGTGGTACCTCGAGTTACAAACGCCTCAGGTTACAAATGCTTCAGGTTACAAACTCCAATAACCTGGAAGAGTTACCTCGAGTTGAGAACTTTGCCCCAGGATGAGAACGGAAATTGTGTGCCGGTGGCGCAGCGGCAGCAAGAGGCCCCATTAGTGAAAGCAAGCCTCTAGTTAAGAACAGTTTCAGGTTAAGAACAGACCTCCGGAACGAATTAAGTTCGTAACTAGAGGTACCACTGTAATCCAAAGTGATTCGGGTCATGCAGGATTTTTGGAGATATTTAAAAAATGGTAATCTAAGTCATACAGTCAGTAGCCAAAATGGTGGAGGGGGTTGAAATGTAAATATATAAAGGAAATGTCAGGGTGGGGAGAGGGGGAATCGGGGAGCTGGCATTCATTCACTGAGAGGTCTTGTCTTCCAAGCCATCACTGGAAACTTCCCCAACATTCTCCAGGCACAGGGCTTGTGGGGTGGGATGTTGATTCTATAAAACCAAGTGGACAAGGTGATTTGAGAGGAAGGTGGGCAGCTTTCTGCAGTTATGCCTGAAGAAAGCAGACTATCAAGACCCATTCCAGTCTGGTTCCAGACCTGGATTTGTCAGCAAAACAGACTTGGGCACCCTGACTGATGACCTTTATTGGGAGAGAGGCAGGGGGAGTACAACCTGTTGGTTCTCCTTGACCTCTCAGCAGCTTTTTAAACTATGGACAATTATAACTGTCTGGAGTGACTCAAGGAAGTGGGTTTTGGCATTACAGTATTACTGTGGTTCCATTCCTACCTGCAAGAGTCAATACCAGAAAGTAGTACTAGAAGACTGTTGCCCAGCCCCAGCTTTTGAGTTGTGGTGTCCCAGAAAGGTCTATTCCAGGATTACCCAATATTGGGTCTCCAGTTGTTTTTGGATTACAACTTCCCATCATCCCTGGCTAGTGGGGCCAGTGGTCATGGATGGTGGGAATTGTAGTCCAAAAACAGCTGGACACCAAAGTTTGGGAAATCCTGGTCTATTCTGCCTTCTGTGCTGTATGAAACCAT